CCATTTGCTGTTATTTCTTCTTCTTTTTCTCTCCTCATCCATGGAACATCTCTGCCGTGTTCTCCTCATCCATGGAACATCTCTGCCATGTTCTCCTCATCCATGGAATGTCTCTGCCATGTTCTCCTCATCCATGGAATGTCTCTGCCGTGTTCTCCTCATCCATGGAATGTCTCTGCCGTGTTCTCCTCATCCATGGAATGCCTCTGCCGTGTTCTCTCCATCCTTGGAATGTCTCTGCTGTGTTTTCCTCATTCTGGAAATGTCTCTGCCCTGTTCTCCTCATCCTTGAACATCTCTGCCATGTTCTCCTCATCCTTGGAATGTCTCTGCCTTGTTTTCCTCATCCATGGAACGTCTGTGCTGTGTTCTCCTCGTCCTTGGAATGTCTCTGCTGTGTTCTCCTCCTCCTGGGGACATCTCTGCCGCATTCCTCTCCCCCTTTGGAATGTCTGCTATGTTCTCCTCATCCTTGGAATGTCTCTGCTGTGTTCTCTCTGTCCTTGGAACATCTCTGCTGTGTTTTCCTCATCCTGGGGACATCTCTGCCATGTTCTCCTCATCCGTGGAACGTCTCTGCTGTGTTTTTGCCCATCCTCTGGCAGCTGATGAGATGACTGTGGGGAAGGTCTACGCAGCCCTGATGATATTTGACTTCTACAAGCAGAATAAGAACAGCAGGGAGCAAGTCCAGCCCCCCGGGGGCCTGTGCCAGGTACAAACGGGGTCATTCCACCCTCCCAGCTTTAACSAGAATCACCAGCAGGATTCATCCAGAAGGTCTGGCTGCTCCTCCAGGCAGGGTTTGGAAATGCTGGCTCAAAAATGGAAACCTTTCCTGAAAGTCTCTCCCCAAAAAAATTTTAAAAATCGTTGCAGTTGCCTTTTCCAGAAGATCCAGAAAAATCTTTTCCAAAAAATGGCAACTGATCTTTGAAAGTCTAAATCCTGTATCTAAAAGTGGCCTAAGGACTGAAGGACACCAAAAGGTTTCTTTTGAACCAAAGCTGCTCATAGTTTAGCTCTAAAATGTTTAAGTTATTTTWGAAAATAGGAATTTATCCAAATCATTTTCATTCTGATAGATTTGAAGTTTTTTACAAATTCTAGAAAAAAWTTCTCAAAAATATCCTCACACAACAGCTTGGGATTGAAAGTCCAATTGTTTCCAGTGGGACAAAGTCCTACTGTTTTTAGGATGAGCATCCAGCCGGTCTCTTAAAAGATCCAGAAAAGATTTTAGGATGATCTTCTGCTGGCCCAGCATGGGGTAGAGATCTGTCCCACACATGGATGGGATGGCACAATGAGCCATGGGAATTGCATGGCCTCTCTGGCCACATCCCTGTGGGAATGCCATGCTGTGCGCTGGTGACTGGGAAAGTGTTCCCAGGGAAGGGGGATTGCAGCAGGATTTGGGGGAATGTTCAGAGGGAATCGCAGCAGGATTTGGAGAATGTTCAGAGGGAATCACAGCAGAATTCGGAGAATGTTCAGAGGGAATTGCAGCAGGATTTGGGGGAATGTTCTGAGGGAATTGCAGCAGGATTTGCCTTGTGCCAGGTGTCCCTCAGAGCCTCTCTCAGCTGTGCCCAGGCTGGGGTGTCCTTTCCGCTGCCCTGGTGTCCCGGGGTGGAACAGTGGAGTTTTTACRGGCTGGGACAATCCCTGCAGCCCCTCCCTGCTCTGACACCCTTCCCTTGTGCTCACAGCCTGGCCCAGTGTCCCTGTTCCACCCGCTGAAGGCCACTCTGGAGCAGACCCAGCCCGCAGCCTTCAGCAACGCCAAGGCCTTCCTGCGCCAGAAGAGCTCTGCCTCCCTCAACAATGGGGGAGCCCTGTGAGTACCCCACCTCCCTGCAGAGCCACCCCATTTGGGGACCAACCCCATCGAGCCCTGCTGCTCCAGTGGCTCTGGTGACACCCAGGCCAGCAGCCCCTTCATGCTATGGTGGGGACAATTCCCAGTGGTGGCTGCCAGAACTCCTCCATGTCCTTATCCCTGTGCTGGTGGTGTTTGCATTCCTGTGTTTCCTTAACGGTCTCTTGAATCTCCCTGGAGAGCTCCCCATTGTGAGTTTGCTCACAGGAATTTGGGACTGTCACAAAACAACCAAGCCAACCCCACCAACCATCACAATGAGTTCTTGGGAGTCCAAAAATCCTTGGGATCAAAGTCATCCCCTGTGGCACTGGGTAACGGCAAGAGTTCCTTGGGATTTGTCACAACACAGTCTGTCTTTTTGGGATAATAATCCCTACRTGGAGAGCTTTCCAAACAGTCCTAGTGACAGGATCCTGAATYAGTTCTCCATTTCCTGCTCTCCAGGTGATTTTCCTCTGGGCCACGAGTGCTGTGGGTTTTTAGTGATAGGCAGATGAGGTTTAAACACCCCAAATAATCCTGATGAGAAACCAACACCAGACTCAACACTTGGTGAAGGGTCTTTGGCATGGTTGAAGTGTTTGACCGGTGTCCAGCTAGTCCTGGACACATAATTGGCCTGAACTCCAAAACTCTTCATAGTCCATCAGGAATTAGGTTGCAGAACTTTTGTTTAGCTAAAAAYAAATAAAATTTTGTCTGGTTTGACTCCCTTATTCTCATGGGATCTTTGTGCTCTGCAGGAGAAAAACCCAGGGGACCTTAGAGCTTCACCAGCCMCTGTGCCCATCCTGCAACTGATTTTCGCAAATGAAACCCCAAAGGGAACCTCAGTTTGGTTTGCCAAATTCAGCAAAATCTCTTTGCAAAAGAATGAATCTTTTCCCCTGTTTTTCTCTGGACAGGCCGCCCCCGGAGGGTGGGATCAAAGAGTCCAGTTCTTGGGGCACCCAGCGCACCCAGGACGTGTTTTATGAAACCAGGAGCCCAGCTTTTGAACGAGGCCACTCCGAGGAGATGCCCAGTGAGAGGGTGAGCAAATGGGGGCGAGGTGGGAAGAGGGAGGTGCAGGTTATTGAGCTGTGCTGGGACTTGAGAAATGATAGAAAAATATTTTTAAAAAACAGGTGAAGACAGGGTGAGATGCAGGAGAGTTTAGAACTGCAGTAGGACTTGAGAAATTTTAGAAAATACTTTAAAAAAGCAATTGAAGACAGACTGAGATGGAAAAGATTTTAGAACAGGGGTAGAACTTGAAAAATTTTAGAAAAACATTTTTAAAAAACAGGTGAAGACAGGGTGAGRTGCAGATTTTAGAACAGGGGTAGAACTTGAGAGATTTAAGAAAATATTTAGAAAAGATAGGTGTAGACAGGGTGAGGTGCAGGGGGTTTTAGAACTGTGGTAGAACTTCAGAAATTTMAGAAAATGTTTAGAAAAAGCAGGTGAAGATGGGGTGAGGTGCAGGAGATTTTAAAGCTGTGGTGGAATTCCAGGGATTTTAGAAAGTTTAGGAGAAAAACAGGTGAAGATGGGGCGAGAGGCACGAGATTTTAGAAGAGTGGTAGAACTTCAGAAATTTTAGGAAAAAAACAGGTGAAGATGGGGTGAGATGCAGGAGATTTTGGAAGGGGGTAGAACTTGAGAAATTTAAGAGCATGTTTAGAAAAGACAGGTGTAGACAGGGTGAGGTGCAGGGGATTTTTGAAGTGTGGTGGAATTTCAGAAATTTTACAATGTTTAGAAGAAAACAGGTGAAAACAGGGTGAGATGCAGATTTTAGAACAGGGATAGAACTTGAGAAATTTAAGAACATTTTTAGAAAATGCAGGTGAGGCCATGGGAGCTGCATTAGCAGAGGATGTGCCCCTTGAGGCATTGTTCTGTCTCCTGTTTCCTTGAGCGTTGTGGAGAAACCCCAAATCTGGCAGCTCCCACAGCCTGACCCGGATATATTTTCCCTGGAATTCTGTCCTGTGATCTTGGGTGACCCCAGGTTTTCTTTTCCCGCTTTCCCAATCCCATTGTCCCAGCTCAGATGAGGGGTTTTTCAGGTCATGGCTGCTGGGAGAGCTCATCCCCCCGCTGTCCTTGCTGGGACAGAGGAACCAGGCACTCCACAGCTCTTCAGTTGTTCCCTTTCCCACACCAGCATCTCCTCCCAGGGAAATCCAACTTTAAGAAGCTGATGGTGGCTTCCAAGCTGATTCTCCTTGCTACTGAAACCATTCTGTGTTTTGATCAGGTGGTGGAGATGAAGGAGATCAGCCCCACGGTTGCCAACGGAGAGCCCCAGCCAGGGCTGGAGAGCCAGGGCCGGGCAGCGTCCATGCCACGCCTGGCTGCWGAAACCCAGGTGAGAGAGAGAGGGATTCTGCAGGTGCTGGGAGGCTGAGAGCAGGCCCAGAGCTCAGCAGATTCCCTCTGCCTGTCATGGGTTGGAAGTTGTGAATATTGGTTTTAAAATATGTGGAGGCAGAAAACCATCTGGGATGGCCGGGATTCCCCACAGGGTGTGGCAGGGATTTCCCACAGGGTGTGGCAGGGATTCCCCGCAGGATGTGGCCAGGATTCCCCATAGGGTGTGGCCAGGATTCCCCATAGGGTGTGGCCAGGATTCCCCATAGGGTGTGGCCAGGATTCCCCATAGGGCGTGGCCGGGATTCCCTGCAGGGTATGGCCACGATTCCCCATAGGGCGGGGCAGGGATTCCCCATAGGGCGGGGCAGGGATTCCCCATAGGGTATGGCCAGGATTCCCACCGGGAATGGCAGAGATTCCCACAGGGTGTGGCAGGGATTCCCTGCAGGGCGTGGCAGGGATTCTGAGAAGGGGATTACAGCTTTTCCTGTGCAGTCCCAGCACTGCCCCCAGTTTGTTTCTCCCTCCTTGCAGCAGAAAGCAGCCCAGGCTGGTCCCTGTGGCTGGGTCTCTCCCTGGGGACTACCCATGGGTGGCTGTGTCACTAACTGGGGACAAGGCCATTTGGAAAGCACATTTCCCATTAGTTGTGTGCCCTCTATCCAGCCAGTCAAGCCTTGTTCCTGTGCCCAACCCTTAAAAACAGCTGGAGAAATGCCATGACTCCCTGTGATGGATGGAATAAGCACAGGGAGCTGTGCCTGGCAGCTGCACAGGGACACTGAGCGTGCTCCCTGTTTGTCCTGTACTGTGACCTTGGCCGCTCAAATGGTGCTGAGGATTTCCTTTGCAGATTTTAACTTGTTTTTTAAAGAGCTCTCCTAACTAGAGTTGACTTGTGGATGCTCCTTAGTTCGTAGGATGTCACAAATCATTTTTGGCCATTTCACATGTTCGTTGCTGTTTGTCCCCAGCCACTGTCCTGCCTCCTGTGTGACAACATCTCACCACTCATGTCCTGCCTCATTCCCAGGGCCTGATTCACCCAGCCAGGAGGGAGCAGCCTGCCCTGGGGTCTGTTCCCATGGCTCTCCGTGGGCAGCAGGATGGGAAGGATTTGTTGCATGCTGACATGAAACCCTGTGATGTGCACAGGCAGCAATTGCTCTAGCAGGTGGAATTGTTGGGAAGATTTCCCACCTGGCTGCAGAAATGCAGCCTTTGTGGGAGCCCTGGGATGCTCTGAATTATCAGGAGCGCTGCTCAATGTGCTTAGTGACAACAACAGCACAAAGCAAAGCCATTCTCCTTTGCAGAAATTGTCCTTTTATCCCAGACCACAGGCGGCCTCTTCCCTTCCTGGGAGTTTCCTTGGGGAACTCCTCTCCGTGGCACTCAGACACTGCCAGAAGTGTCCCTGACAGGAGCAGGGACAGGAGCTGTCCTGCAGGACATTTCTCTGGGATTCTGCAGAACCTTTGTAAGGTTTTCAACCTAAAGGGAAGGGAGTAGGGTCTGGAGCTGCCAGAGCGGGGTCTGCAGCTGCCACTGGCTTTGTGTGCCCAGGGTGTCACTGCCCCTCGTGCCACACCTGGCTGTGAATCAGGCCCGGAATCTCAGCTCTAACCTCATTTAATGATATGTTGTTCAGTGGTTGTAGCTTTGGGTGAATAACTGATGTCCTTTCTGTGTGTGTCTCCCCCCTCCATGCCCTCACCCTCCTTCTCACATGCTGCTCTGCCCCTCCCCACATTTTGAGTTCTTTCTAACTCTTATTTGCAACTCCTGGACATCTCCCTTTCTGTTTGCCTCTCTCTTTTTACGTTCCACATATTAAAAACCCCCTSCTCCCGTGTTTCCACCCTCCCTCTTTGCTGTCCTGCCCTCATCACCCCTGTCCCTGGTCGTCATCGTGTCCGCTGCACATCCGATGTCTGACACTGGCTGTACTGTGGGGCTGCTTCCAATAATGTCCCTCACCTTGTCCGAATTGTTTGCAGAGGAGCAAAGCACGGTCACCTGGGAGTTACCTGGCAGTATGTAGTTTGCACTCRGTTGTATCCTCCTCAACCCATCTTCAGAATTAATTAATTTTCCTTGAACCCTCGACTTTTCTCCCCTCTCATTTGGAGCCGCGCCGGCACAGCCGCTCTCTCTGTCTCTCTCTTTCCCCACTTTTCTGCCATTCCCTCTCTGTGGTTGCACATTGCTCGCTCTGGGAGCAGGGCTTGGGTGGGTGCTTTGCTGCTTTTGGTTTGTTTATTTTCATGCCTTGTTTGTTCGGGGATTTTAGCAGGATTTAGCTCAGCAATGAAAGCAGTCGGGTTGGTGATGAAGCAGTGATCAGGAGCTCTCAGCAGGGGTGCAGTGCCACCTCCCGAGGCTTTTTTTGGGAGCTTGTGCCTCCTGTAAGGAGAGCATTGCCAGGATTTATGGAAAAGGGATTCATTGCTCTGCCACTGATTTGTGTCAGTGGGACTCCTGTCCCTGGAATAAGCATGGAAGCAGGACCAAATCCCAAAAAGAAATTTTCATTTCTTGTCAATCTTCCCGACGTTTTTTTTTTTTTTTTTTTTTTTTGTTTTTTTTTTTTTTTTTATCTACATTTTTTCCCTACACGTTTTTTTTTTTTTTTTGTTGGGAGTTTTCTGTTGCTTTCTTCCTGGCAGCTCCTGGATGGATTTTGAAAACCTGGATGGATTTTTGGTGGGAAATACTTTCACTTTCCGTATTTTTGCCCATCACACAGTGCAGTTTACAGCCCCCCAGCTGCAGGTTCAGCTCAGAGCAAGGAGGACAGACGTGAAGGTCCTGAGTACAATTCCTTGCCCATGCAAACGAGGGCCACAAGAGGTGACAAAGCAGCCCAGCGTGGTCCTGCTGATGGAATTGGTGCTTCCAGRGACACACCACAGGCTGTGCTGGGCTCCCTCATCCCAGCTTTGTGCCTGATAAACGTTCCAGCTCAAATACCCCAAGTGCCTTACAGTGGGAAGCATCAAAATGCAGGAAACTGCCCAAGTTAGTTGTGCCTTTATATCCAGGATAACCCACCCTGGGTGAGAGGGAAGGTGTTTTTTCCACTCCAAATAATGAGCAGAGCTGTGAAACAGCTGCYTTTGCCTTGGGTAAATATCATGGGGCAGCAGAGATGGGGATTTCGGGATGAGCAAACAGAAGAGARCAGACAGGAAAAATAATACAGAGCTCTTAGGAAAGGTTACAGTGAGCAGAGTAAATGTTCTGTGAGGGCTGCTGTTGGAGRCTCTTATTGGGTTGGGAATTCAGACAAGTGTGAGGCTGAGGGACTCAGGAACATCCTGAACTTCCCTGGATGTTCYCAGGCTGAGATCTCTCCTCTGGCACATGGCTGGGATGCAGTGACAGACCCAGGGAAGCATCCAGAGGATGGACAAGGAGCTGTCTCCACACTGAGGCCAGCAGAGAAGGAAATGTGGGAATTGTCCTCGTTTTCTGATGTTTGTCCTTGGGCACAGGGGGGGCAGAGGCAGTGACAGGAGCTGTCCTGCAGGTTCTGCAGAACCTTCGTAAGGTTTTGAACTTAAAGGGAAGGGAGCAGGGTCTTGAACTTCCAGAGCAGGGTTTGGAACTGCCACTAGCCCAGGGGAATGGCCCAACAGTGCTGTTGCTGCTCTCAGAGCCTGGATTTTGGGGCACAAATGTTTTATAAGCAGTGACAGCAAACACGAGTGTTGCTCTGTGGAGATGTCCTGGTAGGATTGCAGGATGCACACATTGTCCTGCTTATCCCAGGCACAAGGGCTTCAGGGAGTGACAGAGAGGTTTCAATGTTTGATGGAAGATGTCTTCAGCTGCGGGGAGACAGGAGGAATTCCCTGTGGCTTGGCCCATACCTCGCTTGATCCCTGATTTTTCTGCTTCTCTGTGGGGTGCTCAGCTGCTCTCCCTGCTTTCCTCCTTGGAGCTGCTTTGGGGTGCAGGCCCCGGAGCAGCTGTGGGTGCCTCTGGTGGTGGAGGATTCCCTTTGTGAGGCTCTTGGCTGCYGCTGTGCCCCGTGTCCCCGCCGAGCTCCCTGCCGGGTGTGCTGTGCGCTGCTGCTGTGCTTCCGCTCCCCTGGAAATCCCATCCGCTCCCCAAATTCCACTGTCAATCTGCATTCCCACGAATCCTCCTGCCCATTCCAGTTATCTCCAAATAACCCTTTCTCTCCTTCCCCTCCTTGCCCATTCCTCTCGCTGTTTAACCCCTCCCGTGCTGGGCACCAGGCGGCCGAGCGGGGCCCGGCGCCGTCCCTCACCCCGCTCCGGTGTCCCCTCTCCTTGCCCATTCCTCTCGCTGTTTAACCCCTCCCGTGCTGGGCACCAGGCGGCCGAGCGGGGCCCGGCGCCGTCCCTCACCCCGCTCCGTGTCCCTCCCTGTCCCCCGCAGCCCATCCCGGACACGAGCCCCATGAAGCGCTCGGTCTCCACGCTGGCCCCGCAGCGCCCTCAYGCCATGCACCTCTACGAGTACTCCYTGGAGAGGATGCCACCRGAGCAGGGCCACCACCACCACCACCACCGCTGCCACCGGCGGAAAGAGAAGAAGCAGAAATCCTTGGACAGGGCCGCCCATCACATGGCCGATGGACAGGCTGGTGAGTGCTTTGCCAGCGGGGATTTGGGGYTGSATATTAGAAAAAAGTTCTTTACAGAAAGAGTGATAAAGCACTGGRATGGTCTGCCCAGGGAGGGGGTGGAGTCACCATCCCWGGATGTGTTTAACAAAGATTGGATGTGGGGCTGGGTGCTGTGGGTGAGTTGAGGTGTTGGGGCRTGGGTYGGACTGGAAGATCTTGAAGGKCTCTTCCAACTCTGGTGATTCTGTGATTGTGTGATTGACYCTGTGACTYTGTGAYCCTGTGACTCTGTGACTCTGATTTGTCCCTGGGAGGGCAGGGAGGAGTTGCACGTCCCTTGTCCTCCTCCTTTCGGGTGGGATTTGGGGTCCTGCCCACATGGAAGGATCTCCCTGCCCCACACACATTGGTGATCCCCTCTCCCCGGYGTTCTCCTCGCAGTAGCCCAGTCTGCAGAGTCCTCCTCCAAGGACAAGAAGCAGGAGCGTGGCCGCTCCCAGGAGAGGAAGCAGCACTCGTCCTCATCGTCTGAAAAGCAGCGCTTCTACTCGTGTGACCGCTACGGCAGCCGGGACCGTGCCCAGCCCAAATCCRCTGACCAGAGCAGACCCACCTCCCCCAACGGGGGCCCGGAGCACGGCCCACACAGACAGGTGAGGAGAGGCAGGGTGGGGCAACAGCCCTCAGCAGCTCTGCTGCGGATTTGGGCACMTTTTCCATGTTTTGCTAAAACTRGARGATATGGAATGGGGAAGGAGGGCCAGGCTGGTGCAGGTAAAGCCGTTGAGGTCCTGCTTGGGGTTTCACACCAAGTTTGGAGAATTTCTCCAAGTCCAACCTGTGCGCAATCCCCACTTTGTCACCAGCTCAGAGCACTGAGTGCTACCTCCAGGCRTTGCTTGGGCACCTCCAGGGATGAGGACTCCAAACCTCCCTGGGCACTCCATTCCAATGACCAATCACCTTTTCAGTAAAGAAATTCCTCCTGGTGYCCAACCTGACAWAMCTTGAGGCCATCTCCTCTCATCCTGTCCCTTGTTCCTTGGGAGCAGAGCCCTGACCCCCACCTGGCTCCGCCCTCTTGTCAAAGAGCTGTAGAAACCAAAAAGGTCCCCTCTGAGCCTCCTTTTCTCCAGGCTAAMATTTATTTCTCCTTATTTTCGTAATTGTGAGGTGCTCAGGCCCTTGGGAAAAGCTGGGCAGCTTCCCCTGGATGTTGGAATGTTGCTGGGAAAGCCAGGCAGGGCAGAACAAGCATTTATTGACATCCTGAAAAGCAGCAGCCTCATGGGTTGGTGGGAAGGAAAATTAAAAAAAAAAATAATTTAAAAATTAAAAGCCTCCTCTCAAAATGTTAGGTCAGAAAAGGTTGAGGGATTGTTCAGTGCACTCATGTCCTGCTTTTGGGAGAATGTCAACAGAAATGACAATGGGAAACAGGGGCCTGTTCCTCTCACTTGTGGCTTTTGTGTAAATTATTGCAGCTTAGTTCACTCTCATGTGGCATTATTAGGAACCCAGGAAGCTGCCAGACCCTTCCCTCACTCAAAACCCAAATATGTAATATTAAAGAGGAGAAGGTGAACACATTTCTGTCGAAGGGACTTGTTAAAGTCTGTCCAAAAAAGCTTTTGGTTGTTTTTTTTTTCAGAAAATGGGTATTTAATCCAAAGGCATTTCATTGCCAACCTGCAAAAAACCAGCCCCCCAGATCCATAATAATAATAATAATAATAATAATAATAATAATAATAATCCATAATAATGATAACCCATGATAATAATCCAATTTTGACCACAGAAATGGAGTTATAGAACCCCAGAATGGTTTGGTTTGGAGGGGACGTTAAAGCTCCTCTCCTTCCAACCCACAAACCCAGCACTCACAACTGTGGGGTGAAGCTCTGCACAAACTCACCCCAAGGCTAAATCATAACAAAATGACAATAATTTGTAAAAAAACCCCAATAACTCAGGTTTCTGAGCTGCTCCCAGGCCAGGTAAGGCGCATGTTGAGCCCTGTATGCTGTGGGTGCCTCCCCTGGGCAGTGTCCCCTCTGTCGGAGCCGTGTGCCCGTTTGCGTCCTACCGATGCTCTGCCCCTCTCTGTTCCTACTGCTCCCAGACTCCAACTCTCCACTCTCCACATCTCGTGTTGAATTATCTCTCGAGAGCCTTCCCCCCCGACTGTGCTTGTCTAAACTCTCTCTTTTTTTTTTTTTGTTTTTGCTTTTCTTTCCTCTTGTGACTCGTCTCCGCCTTCTGTTGCTTCTCCTTCTGTTTGATACCTGCCTGCCTTTGTGTTTGTCCGGCGTTGCCCTTTTTTTATTTTTCGATTTGCTCTGTTCCAATTTTGATGTAGGGCAGTGGTTCAGTTAATGGGAGCCCCTTGCTGTCGACATCTGGTGCTAGTACCCCCTGCCGGGGTCGGAGGCAGCTCCCACAGACTCCACTGACCCCCCGCCCCAGCATCACTTACAAGACCGCTAACTCCTCGCCCGTGCACTTCACCACTTGCCAAGCCCCCGCCTTCTCCCCGGGCCGCCTGAGCCGCGGGCTGTCCGAGCACAACGCGCTGCTGCGGGGGGAGCAGCAGCCGCCCCCGCCCGCCGTGTCCCGCATCGGCTCCGACCCCTACCTGGGCCAGCACGCCGCCGACAGCCCGCAGCGCGCCGCGCCCGAGGACACGCTCACCTTCGAGGAGGCCGTGGCCACCAACTCGGGCCGCTCCTCGAGGACTTCCTACGTCTCCTCGCTGACCTCGCAGTCGCACCAAATCCGCCGCGTGCCCAAYGGTTACCACTACACGCTGGGGCTCAACGCGGGCCCCAGCGCCCGAGGACGCAGTTACTACCACGAAGCCGACGAGGATGACTGGTGCTAGCGGCTCGGTGGAACCCTGCGAGGCCTGTGCGCTTAATAAGGATGAGTTTTATCATCTGGAGGGCTGGGAGCTCCCACGGGGGGCCCGGGGCCGGAGACAGCCGGCGGGGCAGCCCCGAGAACTGCTCGGCGCCCGGGGCCGGAGATGCCCCTGCAGCCTCTCTCTCCTCTGTTGTTCTTTAGTTTTTCCTTTTTGGTTTGGGTTTGTTTATTTTGTTTGCRCTAGACAGACAGAGGAAGAAGGCTCCCTCCTTCTGGGGAAGGCAGCAGGAGGAGCACACCCCTCTCTGCCCCCTCCCCACGGCCTTGTCCAGTCCCAAGACACGCACCAGGCGCCAACCCGGCCACGAGAAGAGCGATCCTCGCCTTCCACGGTGGAAAAGCAGAACTGTGGGTCCTTCTCGAGATCAGCGCAGTTTCRTTGGGCTACTTCTTAATTAATTTCCCATCACAATTCCCCGCCTACAGCCAGGGTGGGAGCCGGGGGTAGCGGAAGGACTCGCACGAACAACGCTCGCCCCCGCGTTGGTGTCGTTGAGCACCGAGAAGGAAGAGATGCACCCRAGAAACTGGGAGAGGAGAACACAGCCCAGAACAAAGGACAGTCCTTTGGGACTTGATGTTCAGCCACTGCAATCCTTTAGGGCAGAGCTGGTGCCACCCTCGCCCCCCTGAGCTGACCCGGCTGTGACACCGCTGCCCTGGGGGTCTCTAATGTCACTCACCACGTCGGGTCCTTCACACTGACACAYGGTAAAGCCACAAGAGAGCTCCTTTGTAAGGACTGTTTCCTTGCTGCTGAGACTTTTCAATCCATCCCTCTCTCCTGTTGACTGCAACACGCCCTCACTGTTTTGTCTTGTTTACAATATAAGCTTGATTTAGCAAAAAAAAAAACTTCAAAAAAGAAAAAGTCCACAAACCCCCCCACCCAAACAAAGAAAACAGGAAAAAAAAAAAGCGTAGGGGTGAGAAGAAGAAATGTTATTGGTTTTATATCAAGCTATTAGATAGAACTTTAACTTTTCATTGTGTGCATTTTTGTAAATTGTACAGTAAAAAAAAAAAAAACTAAAAAAAAAGAAAAAAATTCCTCTTTATGTAGAGAATTAGTCCAATTGTCATTCCAGGTCCCACCGTTTCTACCGAATGCTCCAGTTGTTCACTACTAAGTGCCTAACCTTTGAAATCTTTCACAGTGACGATGCAACCTCTTGCTTCGAGGCATCAGAGCTTGGGCGAGCGTGGGGAGGGCAGAGGGGGCAGGGGCTGAGCTGGAGGAGCCACCAGGAGGGTCCCAGGGGCCACCACACCCTGGACATGGCCCTCCACACTGGGAGCTTCCAGTGGGGAAGGCAAACGAGCTTTGGGGTTGGTTTGGGTTTTGTTGGCCTTTTGTTATTCTTACTTTTAATTTTTTTTWAACATATAAATATATAAATATATATATACTTTTATTGGTGGGTGGGGAGTGATTGCAGCAAACAAAGCCGGCCTTGTCTCGTTGCCCAGTGGAGGAAATGCAGGTGGGAAAGGGCAGCATCTGCAGGGATGCTCCTGCAGGAGAAGCAGCATCTCCCACAGTCAGGTTGAGGAGCTCTGGCCACGCTCCGTGGTGCATCACTGGTGTGGAGGGCAGTTGGAGCGAGCTGTTTTTATTGCCTGATAAGAGAAGGTTAAAAAAAAAAAAAAAAAAAAAAAAAGATGATAATGATTATAATGATAATTATAATAATAATAATACTCCAAACCTCTAACTCTGATTCTCAGGGATGAGATTTCTGCGTTCTTTGCAACGACTCTTGCGTTGGCTGGTTTCTTTCTTTTGTGCCCGTGTGGATTCCTGCACTGTGAGCCTGGCCAAGGGGCGGATGCGCTGTGCTGGCGGGGAGGGCGGCCGGGAGCCAAGCGTGGGCAGCACCCCGTGCCCGAGTGCTGCTGAGCCCTTGTAGGGCCAGTTTGGGGCTCAGGGCGGCCCCAGGACGGGGAGAGCTTGAAAGGTGGAAGGAGGAAGGGTGGGAGGTGCCAAGTGCATCCCTAAAAACGCTGCTAGGAAAGAGGGCAGGGTTGGAGAGGTGAATTTTTGTAGAGGATCTACCGAGCCCCAGACCTGTGAAACTTCTTCAGGGGAAGCGGTGGCGTGGGGCAGGGTGGAAATCCYGCTGGATCCTGGTGATCTGTGCTGTCCCTGGGGCGGTTGGAGGGGATCAAATGCCACCAAAACGCTCAGGAGCTCTCTCGTGCTCTCAGCAGAGTCTTTCAGCCTCGGGCAGGAGCAGTCTGCTCTAGGGTGGTTCCTCACATCTCCTGTAGCTGTTCCCTGGAGGAAACTCACCCCGGTTCYGTTCCCAGCCGTGTTTTGTTTTAGTTTCCTTCTGTTCAGTAGCAAATCTCCGGCCGATCTCATCCCTGGATTCCGCTGAAGGAGAGCTCCTGTCTGTATCTCTGTCTCTGTGTGTGTGTGCACTCGCAATGAAGGTGGCGCGGTGGCCGAGGGTCACGGCCATCCATAGCCGGGGGTTGTGGCCATAGCCAGGGGTTGTGGCCGGCATTCCCGGTGTCCCCAAGCAGAGGAGGGCTATGCAACCAGATGACACGTTCGGACACACCCCCACACAAACACCACTCAGAAAGTCCTTCATTTCTCCATCCCTCTCTCCATCCCTCACTCCATCCCTCCCTCCATCCCTCCATCCATCCCTCCATCCCTCCATCCATCCATCCATCCATCCATCCATCCATCCATCCATCCATCCATCCATCCATCCATCCATCCCTCCCTCCCTCCATCCATCCATCCCGCAGCTTTGTCTGCTGGAAATTCCCGTTTCAGGCTTCAGCACGAGTGTGACCAAACGTTTTATACATTTTCCTGAAACGAAGGCACAAACGCTTTATTTGAAATTTTCACGGGAATGTTCCCATTTTACTGCAGGAAGTTGAGGGGAAGGGACACCACCRCCTTTCTGTCCATGCATGCAAACACCGTACCCACACCGGAAAGTAACAGAGGTGTCTTTCTGTACAGAAAGATTCTGTCTTGTCCCCCTTTCCTCCCCCATTTTCCCTCCCAACCCCTTCAGCCCTGCACTAACACAGCCTTGGGTCACCCCAATTCTTAGGCAGAACACGAAGAAGAATCTCACATTGTCCAAATCCTCCACCCACCTCGTAGGGGTCGATGACAGTGACAGACGAGCCTGACCACAATTATCCATCCCCCTCTCCCATTTTTTTACAGCCTCTCTGCTGTCTCTCCATCTCTCCAAGAATCCTCATAGTGAGTTGCCAAACTTGAATTGCACCGATCAGTTTTCTGCATCCAGAACCAGTCTCGTAGTGGCTGTACTTTGAATAAGTAATGTTTGCATGTAATATATATACATATATACATATCTATAAAAAAAAAAAGTATGTGCATGGAAAATGTTTATCTTCGTACTTTTTTGATACAATGTATTCATCAGTTGTTAATTTTTAATTATATTTGATATAAATCTGGGGGTTTGTTGCGAAACTTTATATTTAAAAAAAACGGCGTGGGAAAAAAATAACTGATTGAAGTTCCGACCATGCAACACAAGCGGAACTTTACCCAAAAAAAAAGAAGGGGGAAAAAAATTGAGAAAAAAAAAGGTTCTGTGATTGCCTAGTTTGCTGCCTGAGTAATATTTATCAGCCAAACTTTGAATTCTGCAGTTGTTTCTACAATTCCATTTTGTATGAAGCAAAGTCCTTGAATTAAAATAAAAACTTAGCAAAAAAAAAAAAAATCAAACAAACAAACAAAAACCCTGAGCAATTCCCAGATGGTGTGTGGGGTGTGCCTGCTGAACAGGAGACGCCGGAGCGCCGGCTCCAAGGGCCTGCCCACCTCCAGGAGTGACAGCCCGGGAGAAACTGGATCCCAAATCGGGATTTTGCCAGAAATTGTCCGTGTCTGGGGGGTTGTTTTTTCCCAACAGATGTTTGGTTTGAGTAGGGAGCTGTTTGGAAATTGGTGGTGTGGATCCAGCATGAGAGGGCAGTTCCCAGAGTCCAACAGGCAGCAAAACTGTGGAGTTGAGGGTCAAACCCACCCAGCAGCGATTGATTCCTTCCAGATTTTTAACAGAGAGATGTTTCTCCTGAAACGTCCTGAAACTGAGGGATGGCAGCAGTTTTCTCTTGTGAAACCTGGCACAGTTTGCCCAGAGAAGCTGTGGATGCTCCATCCCTGGAAACGCTCCGGGTCAGGTTGGATGTGGCTCTGGACAAGCTGAAGATGCCCCAGATGGGTTGGACTCGTGGACATTTAAAAGTCCCTTCCAACCCAGACTSTTTCATGTGCTGGGAATGGCTCCCTGTGCTTTGAACCCTGATTGAACCCTAAATCCACTCCCAGGAGGGGTTTCTGGTGCTCCCTCAGGCAGCCCTGGGAATCAGCAGCGTTGGCTTGGAGCCAGGAGTCTGTCACCTGTCCACACCCTGCTGGAGCACCTGTACAAAACAAAATTAATCATCATCATAATAATTGTGGAACTAACTGGAAGCTGGTGCTTCCAAGACTTGCACTGAGCAGAAAAACCCAAGAGCTGTTGGGACACGAGGAAAGAACTCCTCATTTCTTTGGAGAGCTGGAGAATCCCCCTYGTTTCCTTCCAGGGGCAGAAATCCACTGTGCTCCTCCTTCATTGGGGTCTGCTGGTGTCACACACCACCAAGGGCTCTCCAGAAACTCTTGGGTGCTGTAGAGAACTTTGCAGGGTCCATTTCAGTACCTGATTCTTCTTTTCTTTTTCCATCTTTTCTGGGATGAGCCCCCTGAGCTTTGGTTTGGAAAGGCAAAACTCCCCAAAAACTCCCAGGTCAGGCTGGAGCTGGGGAAGGAGATGCTCGTGCCTGAGCTCACACAATGTAGGATTAGCAGGGTTTGGGGCAAGGGAGCTTCCCTTGGCTTGCAGTGGGGTTTCTGTGGGGTTTGGGGTTCTGGGTGACACCAAGGAGTAGGATTTTTGTTATGTTTTTGAGATATCCCAAACAAACAGGAAATGGAGATTTCTGAGCAGGGTGCAAGGGAAGGTTTGAAGGGCAGGATTTGGGGATCAGTGTGGACCAGTGTCTGCCCCAGCTTCCAAGGTATCCCTGCAGGATTTGCTCCACCACACCCATCAGGAACTGGAATCTGCCAGGGAGACCAACTGAGCAACTCTTCCCTTCAGATGTATCCCAGAGACCTCCAAACCCTCTTTACAACCCCAGAGGAGTTTGAAAATCCTAAAAGCCTTTTGGTGACTTTCTGCCCTTTTAAATTAAAGTATTATTTTTTCCTTTCTCCTCACTCCAGTTGTATTTTCGGGTCCAAGGCACCAATTACCCACCACCTTCTCCAGGGCCTGCCTGAGCCCTGRGGGGAGGGAGCTGATCCCAAACTCAAAGCATCTCCCACATCTGAGATTCTTGAGCTGGAACCTCTGGGCTGGAGTTCAGCTGAATCCCAAAAATGTCTTTATTTTTGTTCCTCCTCCCATTCCTGGGGAACGTTTTGCTCTCAGGGGGTTTGTACAAGGCTTCCTCCCCCCAGGGGCACATCTTGCTGGCAGAAACCACAGAATTCCCATTCCCTTCCTTCCCTGTGGATAAAATCGGGATCAGCGTTTCCAAGGCCAGCACCCCATGCCCGGTTGTGCCATTAGGGGGTAGCATTTTCAGGCTTTTTCTACTTTCTAGAGAAACAGGAAAAAAAWAAAAAATTAAAAAAAAAAAAAAAGGAAAAAAGGCCCATTCAAAATGTTTGGGAGTCATTCCCTGAAATATTTATCCTAGGATGCAGAAAACTCAGGGTGAGACACTGAGCACGCCTGAGTTCAAGGTGCTCAGGTAATTTGGGTTTTTTTGTTCCCTGGAGCATGAAAAGCTGGGATCATCCAGCTGATTGCTCATTCCAGCCACGTTCCCGACGGCACCCACAGACTCCTACATCCCCTGCGAGGTGAAGGATTACTCATCCCAGCGCATTTCATCCCTCTTTATCAATCCTAGACAGATCTCCTGATATTTTCCAGGCTGTGAAAACACCGTTTTCAGAAAGCGCCTGATCGTGGTAGCAGAACCTCGACTCAGTGCTGTCACTCAGCACATTCCAAAATATTTTGCAGATGAGGCGAAATTTGCATCTTATTGAGATTTTTTAAAAGTCAATTGAGACCCTTGAATGAGACTAAATTGCCCAAGGTCACCCAGGAAATGAGGAAAATGTTAAGGTTACTCTGCTTCTTCCTTCATGTTTGAAATTGCTGGTGTGTGCAGGATTTTTTTACATCCACAGGTTTTTAGTGAGGAGGTGTCACTGGGAATTTGGATCTCCCTAGGAGGGAATTTAAAGGAAAGGAGCAATAAGAGAAATGCTGGAAAGCTGTGGACTGAGGGATGGCAGCAATGGATACATGGGGYGCTCTGATCAGGCTGTGCAGATATT